TTGTGGTATTTTAACTTTATCAATATGAGATAAATAGTGCATTTACAGGGAAAAGAGTGTTTTAGAGAGAGCTAATATACATTTCCACACTTGATTGAGGTTACAAAATTGTGTGAAAGAATGTTAGAAACAATAAAAAAACTATCACTATTGAACTTCTAATATGAACCAAGTATTTGACTAGTACCTTATAATGTTACTCTATTAAATCCTAGAGAATATATGCTATTGAACCACAGTGGAGATAAAACTAAAAACATTTAGGGACATGAAATAATTTCATAAGAAACAGAGATAGAATATTTTCAAACCATTCTGACCAGGACTAAGGAACATTGGTGCTCATCCTCTGCCAATGCTTTTTCATCATTTCCTCAAGTTTATGAGTAAACTGAGTCATGGTCCAAACAAAGGCACTTTTTCAGCATAACTGAAGTTCAAAAAATGTACTTTAGACTCTTTGGGATGATAGGTCTCTCCTTTGTCACTTACTAACTGACAAGGAGAAGAGATAATTCTCAAAAGTCATTGCAGGTGACTTTATTTTCAAATATGTAATGACTATCAGTAAAAGGAAATAAAAGGAAAATGATTATATTTTCTTTCATATTGAAGAATAAAGATACTACTTTCATGCAATTAGTTCTGTAAAGGACACTGTGATTATTAATATCAGTATAGTTATGTTGCATGAACCTAATGTGAGAAGCGTTCTTCTTGAGAGATAATTATACTTATAAATATCCCAATTCTAAATAATGGATAATACTTTCATGTTTCCCAGATTTCAAAATAATCTCATTATCCTAAAAGTATATTCAATGAGTTTATTAGGACTTTGTTGAGAATAGAGCTCCATGACTTAAGTTGGCAAAAGCCTAGTGTTCTTAAGCTGTCAAGCACATTTTGGTTAGTCTGTTCACACTTGTATTGTGAAATTGTCAGGTGACTATGATTAACCAAAACCATTATGAGAATAATTTCATGAACTAAAAAAAGTATAAATAGTAAGCAACCGTTTAATACTTGTAGTGATTATTCACCATCTAATAATATTTCATTTTTTCAAATTACAATTACACCAGTAATTTGACATACTGATGTAAATATATTATTAACAATTCACATAAAGGCAAGTTAATTTTAAATAGCTATGATATAACACAATTGAAAATTTATACTTTTGTATTTTAAGAAATATTTGAGTTTGTTCTATTCCAAAATCACCATGGAAGTACAGTGAAAGACTTAAATGTTATTTGGTTATTCAGCTTAATCAATAGTGCATGTTTTCTACTGTCTTGTTTATTAATTAATCAAGTTTAGATATCTAGCACACCAGATACCACATGTTCCTTCCAAAACCTCTGCATGATATTACTTGTAATACTTTATAACCCCATATCAAGTAATTTCTGAAATTTCTTATACTTTTTCAACGTGATTTAATAATACATATCTACCAATGAGTACCTGTTGCTATTTTCCTTATAACATTTCTGATACTTTCTCGAGTTTTTTTCTTAACTAGTTTCTGATATACTCCTTAAAAACTTAATATTCTTTGTGAAAATCCTTATTTTACTTTTCAATATTTGCTTTCATTAGCAAACTACTCATAACCTGAAAAACCATAATTGACTTCCAAGCTTCCAAATTCAGCACAGCTCTTTACTAATCACCCATTAGAAATTTTTTGCATTACCTTTATTCATTAGATCACTGTTCCTCAAGTTCAATGTGTCTGAATTAAACTGCTACTCTTCTCAACACTAAGAAATCTGATGTTTCTTCCTTGTCACCTTCTATCTCAATTCTTGGGTGCTGAAAGGGTGGGTACCTTGATGACTTCTTTAGGAGTGATGACAAACCTGAACCGACACTTCAGCAATGCAAAACAGACCTGTTCTCCAAGCTTTACCATAACTTCTATGGTACTGATGCTGTTTTCCTTTTCTTATTGGCCCCATCATCTTTAGATTCACCTCTCTTCTTTTTCAACAAACAATACATCAATCATCTTCTTAGAGCTTCCAATGACTCCTACCTCCTTACAGGTTAAGATCTAATAGCTTTTTCATAGTTCTAGAATTTTCTTAAAAGTCTATTTCCAATTGACTTCATTGATATTAAATACTTTTCTACTAAGTATTTGGTCATGAGCTGCACTGTCACTGATCCCTTCAAGATCTAGGCATATTGCAGTATGTCTTTATTTTTATATTCTCTCTTCTGTGCTGCACTTCCTCTTTGGCAAAAAGCCAAGATCAAAAGCAAATAACAGTTTCTCATTGATCCATACCCTCAACCATTTTTATCAACTTTCATAACCTCTGTTCTTATTGTATGGTGTTCATGAGTATGGTATACCATGTAGTAATTATTGTGTATTTACAGAATTGTTTAGTTTTAAGTTGGTCAAAGACAAAGATGTCAACAGCACATTTAACCTTTACTAAAGTGAGAGTCAATTGTAAATCTTTAACAACTCTATTGTGTGTTGACCTAAAACTACCATATAACACATATATTATTAGCCACATGTCATAAATCTGATATATTCAACAATCACAAGTATCTACTACATGAGCATATTGTATTTAATGATGCATGAATTTGCTTATATATTAATGTAAATGAAATACTTAATGGTTGAGTAGATATTCCAATATTATCTCTTTTAATCATTGAACCAGGCAGTGTCTGACTTCACCACGATGGACAGCATGTTACTGACAGTTAATGCTCATTCCCCAGACCTTTGTCCAGTGAAAATTCCACCTAAGTGATGTCATCTTTCATGATATTTCCTGTAAACAGTAGAGAGAGCAAGTTCCCCTCACTGGAGCAAATGTGCTCAACTTCGCTATCCTCTTCTCCCAGCTCCTTTCCTGCCCTTTTTTCTCTTGTTTTGTTTCTCATTTAAATCATCAAATGGTAGACATTGTGATTCTGTCACCTCTGCATTTTCAGTTACATTGTACTCTGTTCCTTTACATATGTCCTAGTTCCTCTGAGAACCAATCTCAACTCTTTTCATATCTAGTAACATCTCCCTTCCTCTGAGTGGGTTAAAAAAAAATGAAGAAATCATTATTTTTCCTAGCAGGTTAAATTCTCCATTATTGTCAGTCAAACAGGAAGTCACTGTGAAAAAACAAAAACAAAAACCAAACAAACAAACAAAAATATAGTACCATTACCCTACCACACCAGCTTTTGTTTGGACAAAACTTAACAATGCATGAGTTAGTTTCTCATCACCCACTTAATTTCACCATACCATGTGTTGGCAGTCAACAGCAAGTGCTATCAAACCATAGGTCGCTGAGGAAGTAGGGGTCAAAAGTCAAGCAAACTATTCTTAGAGCAGGCTAGAGCTGAACCTAATGCTGAAATCAAGGTCTCCATGACCTTGATTCCGAGTGTTTCCTTCTATTTTAAACTGTTAATTGGCTTGTGCTCCTGCCTTGACATTAATGTTGACATATATTGGCACCTGAGAGGCAGCACAGTGAATGATGAATACACTCTTTTTCATCTGAATTACAACTTGGCTTATGTTCCTTTGATAGTACAAATTTCAACTAGTCCAGCACTGTTTGGCCAAAACTTATCTGAGAAGCTCTTTCTAAGCTTCCAAATACTACTAATCACTACCAATTTAGAAATAAATAAATAAATAAATAAATAAATAAATAAAATCTTCCAATTCTTTATTTAAAATCAAAGAAATTAATTTGATTTTATCTGCTTTCACCAATCAATTGGTCTTCAAAGTGTTAGCAGGAATGATTTTGCTTTGACTAATCTGTGTCTGTGTTTGTGCATGTACAAGCATGCATGTGCATTTCATGCAATATTCCAAGGTGAAGTGTGTTTTGTCTTTAAGTGAATTTGTTTAATTCCCTCACTAAGTTGCTTCAATATGTGGACCTTCTTAAAACCTTCAGTTATCAGTGCAATTTTGGTGTAAATGGATCTACCTCCTCTACAGGGGTTAGGAGGGCTGAAGACCCGAAAGGAGAGCCGACCTCTATTTTGGGATTGAGGCACTTTTTCTTTTATCTAGTCCCTCTCAATATTTCAGCATCGCCCAGGAACTCTCAAGTCATCCTCAGCTCTCAGCAACAGAATACCTCCTCCACTTCTTTCCTATGAGTGTATGAAGTCTCAGATTGGCTCTGGAATTCCATCTCCCGTAGTGGACAGAGAGCATCCACCTACCCGGCAGAGAGAGGAGTCTGGAGCCTTCGGGTTTTGTTGTTTCTCTGTGGGTTCTTGCCTCAACAGCGCTTGACAGGGAGAGTCTTAGAAGCAGTGAGTTGCTGCCTTTCTTGTTTGGTCGAAAAACAAAGCGAAAAGACTTCTTTCCCGGAAGGCAAAGTTTCAAAACCCACACGGTAATCACTCCACACTGTAAAAATCACTTTAACTCTCGCGTTACTAATTGCGCTGTCCAGTCTTCCCTAAGGGTTCCTAGGAACCCCCTTTGCCTCTTTCTATTAGCTCTGTCCTCACAGGGCTTGTCCCTGAGTGTCCCACACACCACAAATCTGCCCTTAACAAATTTAACTCTGTCCCCTCATATATAACAGCAGTAAACGTACTGCTCACCCAAACACGACATAAACATATGCGAAACTGTTTACTTGATCTCTGCTAGACTGTCATTTTAGAAAGTCTTAGACTGGAAACCCAGAGATGAAAAACACTTTACTTTGTAATGAAAGTACAGCGCTGCCCTCATTCACTGCCTAGCCGCGAGCTGCGAGAGAAACAATCACCCCAGTGACTCACTGTTGCCTCTTAGTTATGTTGTTCTTTCCTGATGGCTTAGGACGTGACCTAATTCGCTTGCAGGAATCATACTTTTGACCTGAGGATCCCGGCACAATCAGGACCAGCTGGAAGGACAGGGGTCCCTTCAGGAGCCCCCCAGCTCCGGATTATCGTCCCAGATTTGGAGATGAAGGAAAGGGAAACTCTGTCCCACTTACCCGTCTTCCAGAGATAGAGGGTGGGCACCTCGGAGTCTCCCTGCGCCGCAGCCCCGCGGGCGCCGGAGCTCAGCAGGAGCAGCAAGAGCAGTGGCAGCCGCAGCAGCTGCAGGACGCCCCGGCTCGGGGACGCCAGGCGCCCGGCTCGCAGCCCCATGCTGTCCGCAGCCGCTCCAGCCTCCGGAGCCGCAGTACTCTCGCAGGGGACGGTCCTTCTTTCTCCACCAGAAGAGAAGGCAAAGCTCTCTCTGCTGCTATTGTTCGCTCCAGATGAAAAGCAGCCAAAGAGCAACTAACACTAGGGAACAATAGCATCCGCGGTGGCTGTGGACGCCACCGCCGCCGCCGCTGGCGGGGATGCTGGCGGGGATGCTGCCGCCGCTGCCATGGCGCGCAGACTGGCAGGTCCTAGCGGCGAGGGACACAGCCGGCCGCAGGGGGCCCCAGCTGACAGAGCCGGCCCAGAGCTCTGCGAGGAGCAGCCCCCGCCGCCAGCTGTAGGGAGGGGAGGGGGGCGAGAGCCGAGAGGAACCGAGGGGACTCGAGGGGACCACAAGCGGGGGCCAGCGAGGGCACAGGGCCAGCACCCAGACCCCACGCGCCCGCCCCGAGAACTCCCCGGCACATGGTGCGCTGAAATATGTTCGCAAGGATACTCCAATAAAAGGAATCATCTCGGGGCAGGCTTCAGGATGACGAATAACTGACATTGAAATTCATCGTCACCCAAGGAGTCAGATGCTGATCTAGTGGTGTGCTATTCTCCTAGCGTATTTACACAAAGCTTCAGTGCTGGTCATTTATTCTGAAGCTGTGCCTTCTGAATTACTTTATGTGAGGAGTGGTATTTATGAATTTATAAGGGAACAGACCAGAGCTCACTGTCAAAAGGCACTTGAGCACTTTCTTAAGTGTCTTTTTTTTTAACTTCAGTCCATTCTCAGTAACAATGTGACCGTGGTTAGTCCGTGTCAAATTCAACACATTGTCTTGTAATCGCCTTTGAAAGTGAATTTGTACTTAAGAAGTGTGCGCGATGCTAATTGCATAAATAAGAATGTGCAAACACTGCTAGCCAGATTCTCTTTCAACCGTGAAGTAAATAAAAGTTCCATTTCTTTCTCCTCTCTCTGTTGAAAACACACTGATATGTATTAGAGATGAGGAGAAAAATTAAAGTGCAAATGTGTCAGGACAGTAGTTCACTATCTCCCAGTTAATAAACACTACTTAAATTTTATTCCTGAAACTAATGTCTCCTGATTCTTTTTTAATGCTTTTCACAACCAAAATAAGCAACCACATGGCTTGTACCTTTTGTTCTCTGTTTTCATTTTCTTAGATCAGTACTAACAGAAGAATGTGTGCAGTCAGATAAAGCTTTGTCCCTCCCCCACAAACTCACAATAACAGTCTTTTATTATTAATTCATTTCCTTGTAAAGCTTAAATAATATCAAGGCAGTTAGCCACTGAAAACAAAGCAAAACAACAACAAAAATCCCTGAGCAACCAACCCAAAGCTCAGGATAACTATTGTCATTTGGTTCCCAATCTTACACCAAACACAGTAACATTTGAAAAGCAGAAAACTTCCCTTGGTGACTTCACCCACCAGGATCCAACCACCCATGAGTCTGAAAGGAGAAAGCTACTGTTTCTTAGGGAGGAAACCTTCCCTAGGGCTCCCTGGGGATGCTTGTCATTTTGCTGAGCTTTCCAGACACAGCCCTTCTGCATGCATTAGATTAAAAGCAGGTTTGATCAAATAATTCCCAGGTCCTGCCTGTTTAAGTATTCTGACATCAGAGGAAATTAGCTGCATTCAGGGTTGCAAATTTGGTCTTTGTTTACTTTTCACTCTGTTAGGCCTCTAAGAGGGAATTAAAAGCTCAGAGAGCCCTGGCCTGTGTCTGTGATTAGAGGCGATAAGCCAGTGTGGCTTAATATTTCTACACTGGTGAAAAATAGGCAATGATCAAAAGATTATAGGTTGATAGGGATACAAAGAAAGCCTGATCCTAACTAATGTATGCTTCCCTGAAGGAGCAAGTCCTTCAATGTTCACACTGTCAAAGAAGAGAAAGACCTGCCATTGCCTCCTGGGCTCCGTCCTCTCAGAAATTGCTCCTCCCTGCCATGCCACCCTGCAAAGAAGCGTCTTCCTACCCTTTCTGGTTGTATTTCTCAGTTGATAGGGCCCAATTCTGAAGTTCTATAACCTCACACTGCAAATTCTCCGTTATTAGTGCCCATTCATAGCATTTTTCCTAAGACCCAAGTCAATTCACCAAGTGGACGTTCTTCATACAGCAGAAGACAGAGCATTCAAGGGGGCAAGTCAGAGTAGCTGATGTGCAAGCTCACCACCTAGACCTCCCAAGAGCCATCAGATGTCACAATCCATAACCTAATGTCAAAAGAAAATTTAAGATTGAATTTTCTTATTTATCCAGGATTGTATAATAATTGCCTATCCATATTAGACATGAAATATGGCAACTATAATATCAAGGCTAATTTCTAAATCAGCATCTATTATCATTTAAAATACACAACCAAGGTGACATGTTGTGCAGAAGTGTTTGAAATTTGCTATCAGTAGGGGTTCCCTCTTTTAATTGAAACTTAAACCAAGCTTAAGGGAATCCCACCCCCCACATACATATGCAAACGTTCCCTAATAGTGGAAACATCTTTAAACAGTGTTAGAGAAACTGAGTCATAAGAACATGTCTCCACCAACACCACATTTCTGTTCATGCAATATCATTACTGCACGTGAGGACAAAAATGTTTGGGTTGCTGAAGAGACAAGGTGGCGCATATATTCAGACACACAGCTCTTCGTGGAAAAAAGAATACTGTCCACATGGATAAACTGTATCACTAAACCTGATAGATGGCAAGTGATAGCAAGATATACTGATCTTTGTTTTCTACAATGGTATAAATAATACACAAATGTATAATGACACTATGTCAAAATATGGTCCAGAGACGTCTCAAGGATGCAGATTTAAATTGGCCATCTGTACAGCCTGCCATGAAGTAAATCAGTCATCATTTTTCATGAACTGTTCAAGTATTAATGAGCCAGGACTAGAAAAGTTTTCCAATCCAACAAAGGATAAATACAAAACAATTTCTAATACTTAAAAATGGTACAATTCTGACCTATACATTATATGTATGGTATCCTTAATTGCCCTTCGTTACATTTACTCTCATTTAAGAACTCTACTGTCTAAAGATATGCACATTCATATGCATTTACACACACACTGTGTGTAAAGGCAATATGTGATGCAATTATAGACAAAATTATTTATTGATAGAATATTGCATAGAGGAGTATTTAAAATGCTTATTTTGAAATAAAAATCTTAAATAAACTTCTCCACATCGTTGCTACTTAATTCCAATAACAACATCAAAAACTCAAAGGAATTCTATTTATGCATCCTCTAGGTGTCATACTTAACCAAGATTTGTATTCAACAACATTTATTTTAGGCTCTTTCTCATCAGTCCTCTGCTATACCTATCAAATTACAAAACAAAACAAGAAAACATTTCACATTTGATCTCTGTGGTAAGTAGCCATGTACCTTACCTTCTCAATTTTGACTCATATTTCTCCTCAATTTCCCTTCCAATTCCTTTTTAGTTACCAACATCATACTATGTTGGTTGGTTGATTGGTTGGTTGATCAACTGGTTTTCTGATTTGTAGTTTTATAATTTTGATAAGAGGTAAGATTCTAAATTTAAAAGTTTTACATAACAATATTGTCATATATTCTCCATGTTACTAATAACAAAAGTATTTTGGAAACAAAGGAGATCATATTTTGTGCATCAGGTGAAAGTACCATGTTTTATTTCAGATCCTTCAAACACTGAGGATAGATTATTTACAGCTGGTCTTAGACTCAGGGAGCCTCCTATTCCAGGTGGTACACGTGGCATCAATGGTACCTGGCAGAAGATGGGAGTCAATGTGTTTAAGTAATCTACCAATGGTAACTAGGCAGAATGTTCTTAGAGAGCTAAGCACTCTGGCTGAATGCAATGAATTGGATATTTGAGAAACACAGGAGAACAGCACACAAAAAGACAACAGCATGGATGAGTTATTAGTCGTGTGTTGTTGTCATGATGCCCTACAGAAGGATAATGAAAAAGCATTGGCGTTTAACAAACAAGTGTGAAGTTATAGAACAGAAGTTCTCCTTAGCAGCTGAAATATAAACCTTTGTCTCATTGGTGGTAGAATAGAAAAACCCAAGGACCAAACTGAAAATCTTAAGAAATGATGATGACTTCAAAAATAATGGAAAGATTTTCGTGAGTCAGGCTTGTTGTATTAAGACTAGGGTCCTACTAAGAAAAACCTGTACTTGCTTTCTGCTTTTGTTTTTTGGCAGCTGGAGTGAGCAGCTTGCTCTGACATGCAGTTGCACTACAGTGTACTGCTACCCCACCACAGGCTCAAAGACAATGGGGGAGAAACCTCTAAAACACTGAAGAAAGCCAACCCTTTCCTCCTTCTAGTTGATTACCTTAGGTATATAACAGGAATGAAAAGCTAACATATCCAGTTGTCTGAAAATAATTTGTTTCTAAGATTATTACTTTTCTCACTGAGCTGCTCTGGCACTTTTTGTTAAATGTCACCTGACTATAAATGGGATGATTTATTTCTATTCTTTGGTAAAAATGCCAACCTTAAGCTTCTACCAACTGTCTGTAGGAAATTATGAAATACATTAAATGCTCTAGTTTTCTTTTTTCTCAAAAGTGCTTATTCAAAGCTCTGTGTTGTCAGAAGTGTTTTAGGGAGATTTTTCAACTTCTACAAATTGCTGCTACAAATGGAGAGAGTACCAAATTTCCAGATAAATTTGAAGAGTAGTAATGAGTCTACTGATTCATAAACATGGAATGTGCTCTCCATTTATTTAGTCTTCCTAAATTATTTTCATGCTATTTTGCATGTTATTTTCAGCACAAGAAGATTGCATATGCTTTGTGAAAATTTTTCCTTAAGCACTTGTTTATTTCTTACTTTTTAAATATATTTTTCTGATTTTGATTTCAGATTTTTTATTACTGGGTCATAGGAATAAAATTAAGTCTTACATATTGATGTTGTATGCTGTACTTTATTTTTAGTTAATAATTTTTATTTCTTGAGAATTTCATACATGTACAAATTTCATACTTTCATTTTGACCATATCCACCACCTTGAAATGGCATTAAAACTTTTTGCTTATTTGTTACTTCTTCAGTGTCTTCTATCATTGTTTTACCTGTCTGGGATACAGATATATCTACCTTCAGTTAAATTCATTCCTAAAAGTGCTGTGGGATGGTCTGTATGTCAAATGTGTTGCTCTGATTGGTCAAGAAATAAAACACTGATTGGCCAGTAGCCAGGCAGGAAGTATAGGCGGGACTAACATAGAGGAGAATTGAAAGAACAGGAAGGCTGAGGGAGACACTGCCAGCCGTGCCATGACAAGCAGCAT